TATTCATATTGATTCTGATTAATAAGTCTGCCATTTACAGTACACTTGAATTAGTTATAAAGTTAGAATAAGGAAAAATACCACTACCACTAAGCATTGAATATATATTTACTGGGACCAGCAGTTGGTGTAATGGTTACATCATTAGACTACCACATAGTCAACCGTGGTTTGAGTCCCGAACCTGATGGCTTAAGACTCATGCCAGGTGCGTGTGTGTGTGTGTGTGTGTGTGTGTACGTGCCCAAAATCCCAAGGGGAAAACGGAAGAGAAAGGATTGTGGTGTGCCCATGCCCCCTGGGGGGTGATTTCTCGAGTTCTGTCTCTCTAACGAATGCTTGCACCCTATAGAAAAAAATTTAAAAAAAAGATTACTTCTCCCTCAAAATTAAAAATAATCAGGAAGTCCATCTCTAAGTCCAACAATCAAATTGGGTTAAATGTTAGTGAAATCATCTTTTATATTCTTGAAGTATTGAAAAATAACATAAAACCCAGGCATGGTGGGCACAGAGTTTACAACAAGAACATGAAATTTCCTGAGGAGCCCTAGTATCTTATAGAAGATACTCGTATACTAGTTAATGTTGACTTGTGTTCAGACATTTCTTTAAAAAGTTCTTACCTGGAAAAAAAATCACACAATTAAAGTTACTTACCACATAGAGTTGTTTCCACATTGTTCCCCAGTCTCTTAAAGTTGATGTCATTTCTGTGATAACAGAATCTTCAGTAGGAATAACCATTTCAAATTGTCTGTGAAAGAAAAAAAGAAAAACAAAGTATATATGCAAATTACCACACAACAATTTTGTTGTAAATACTCTAAAAGATAAACCAAGAAAAAAAAAAAAAAAAACTGCCTTGTTATTTTTGGTTCTGTGGCCAGCAACCAGAAATTCATTATAAATTTGTATAAGGCATGCTATGTGGGTTATGGCAGTACAATAAATATCAAAACAACCAGCCACTTTGTCCATATCAAGTATGAGCAGTGTGGTGGAGAAGAAACAAATTCAAGAGTTCCACTCCAGTAACACTTTGACTACTGGGCAGGAACTCATTTAATCTCTCCAAACCCAAAGCCTTCATCTATAACATGAGGTCATTGGGCTACATAAATGCTGAGGGAACTTTTGCCTTCCAAGTGCTATGAACATAGGACTCAAGGAAAGTAAAAGAAACACTGTTCAACCAGCAGATGTGATGACTACAAACATCCAAACTAACTCAGAGTAATAAATAACTAGACATTGAGATACTGACTAAACACTCAATCTCATTAAAAGTTCATTTATATTATTTGTGAAAAGGGTCCTAAAACATGACTAGTTCTAACTACTAGTAATGTTATCATGCAGCATAGAACTTAAGGGTATAGGATATCACAGATAGTTGAATATCCATTCCAAAATGTTTCTATGATTAGGTTAATATAGACTTCCCACTTTTTGGTTTTTGGAGAGGTTTTTGCCCTAGGGCATGTGCGCTCGCCAGACAGACAGACAGAGACAGAAAGCAAGAAATCACCCCTCAGGGGGGATGGCCATGCCACAATCCCTTCTCTTCCATTCTCCTCTTGGGATCTTGGGCACGCATGCACACGCACCCGGCGTGAGTTTTAAACCACTGGGTCTGGGACACGAACTGCGGTCGACTACGTGGGAGTCCAGCGACATAGCCATTATGCTAACTGCTGGTCCCTAGACTTCCCACTTTTCTAAAGTCAGAAAATATACTTGGAAAATACTCATACAACATCTAGTAGGGTGTGGGTGGTATCCTGAAGACAGGTTTGGAGATGGGGGTGGGAAGATTCCGTTTGTTCTCCATAGCCTACCTCTGGCATATAATAATCTCCTTTTCTTCATTTCTAGTTTCTTTTTCAAATTCCTTCACTCATTTTGCAGGTTAAAGCAGTTTAGTGGCTATTAGTACCACTGCTTCTCAAAAGAATATTCCAGTTACACTGATGAAGATTATTTTCTTTATTTCAGTATATTTTCTCAAGGACAACATCTAACGTGTAGACGATAACAGCATAACAGACACTGAACCAGGTTGTCTAGATGATCAAGGGAAAGTGACTTCTTAGCATAAGTCTAATAATTGCTCTACAGGGTTTTTTTTTTATGTAATGTCCAACGAGTTCATAATTGCCTTTTTGTAGTCTTCTTGACAGAAGTACAGAAACTAAAATATTGCCTTGATCCTTTACCAATGGAGTTTCATCTCATTTCACACTGCTGCTAAAGTACCTGCCTGTGAATATTTTCCTACTTTTTAGAGCTAAAATAGAACTGAAAATATAAAACTGAGATTTAAAACTAGAAAGAAAAGTAAACGATAATATATAAACTCTTACAGATATAGCACCTTTTATTAAGTCTATATAGTATGTTTAAATGTTAGTGCATTTATTTTGATTTTGAAGGAGTTGGTGCAACTTAACCAATAAACATTTAGAGATGGAGATTGAAAGAATGACCCATTACAAGGTCATGGAGAAAACAATAAATTTCCAGGAAAACTTGACATCCTAACTTAGCATTTAAAAAGTGACATGACCTTAGCAGGAACTAACAACGTAGAAGCAGCTTTACTGTTCACTAACTATAATTTAATTTAAGGACTCTCCTCAGTCCTACGTTGTTCTGAAGACCCAGGATATAAAGGATATAAAGGCAATTTGGTCTGTAGAAAGATGATTTGGGAGTTGTCCAACCAAAATGCAAACTTTAAAAATTGCCATCTTAACTAAGGCAGCTGTTTCCTATTAAGTATACCAAAATTAAAATCGATGTTCAAATACTCTGGCATACCTAATTGCCAAAGAATTATATTTCGTTCACTTATTCAGGGATGTACTTTTCAGCCATTGCATCCTGGTGCACTAAAAGGCTGCAAATCCACTTAGAAGAAGACAGGTAACAACAAAATCCAAAAGAGGCTCTTCTTTAGAAAGCAATCATCTGGCAGTATGTGCTCTCAAATGTTTGCAAACTAAAACTTTTCTTCCAGTTAACAGTCTCAAAACTTAAAGTCTGAGCCAATTCTAATACTTCTTTTTCACAAAACAAAATTTTGGTTCTACTCCAGAGCTCTTCTACAATACAATGCCTGTAGTAAGATGGTGAATCTACAATCAAGTCTTTTGAGGCACTTTTCCCCACATTTAAGTTGCCCTGAGTCTCATGGGAGGGGGTCCAGATCTATACCAGCTACTGGTCTAGATCAAAAAAAAAAAAAAAAAAAAAAAAAAGATAAAAGAAAGTACAAAATCCCCAGATCTATACCAATTACTGACATGGATTTTTTTTTTTTAAAGTAATGAACACACTCTCGCTTCCACAACTCATTTGAAGTGGTGTACTTTGACTAAGTTGAGTGACAACTGACATCTCTGGAAAGAGGATTGGTTGCATGGTAGACACTTTAAGAGAAAAGGATAGATAAAGGAGTTCTCATAATGCCAGGATCAGATTCACTAGAGCAGATCAGAAAAAAGAAGTAAGCATGTTCCTGAAGTGTTTTCTTTTTCTTTTTTTCTTTGCTGAAACAGGGTCTTGCTATGTAGCCCAAGTTGACCTTGAACTCATGATCCTCCTGCCTCAGCTCCAGATGCTAAAGTACCTGCATTGTGAATATTTTCCTATTTCTTAGAGCTAAGTAACTAGGATTACAGGTGCATGCCACCATGCCAAGATCTAAAGTATATTCTGAAAACTCCACTGACTTTTTCGAGGTAACTGGATGAGTGAAACCTAGAGCTGTAGAAAAACTCCAAAAGGACTGATTATTGCCCTTGATAGTTACGGTATATTACAGCTTCTTAGTATTTCCAAAGGAGAAAATTGTATTAAAAGATCAGAAGTAGCAGCGGTTGGTATTAGAATTGCATTTTAAAACTACTATTTTATATAATTACCACTACTACTAATTATTACTATTAATATTGCTTTAAGGAACTGATATAAACAAGACATACAGTGCCTAAATTCTGTAACTTTTATTCATATAGAGAACACATACAGTATTTATGCCATGAATGCTCAGCCACTTGCAGAAGTTCTTTCATTGGTCTAAAACTTACAGAGGATAAATAGATGAATTGTTAAATAAAAATTTTAGGAGACCATTGTTTTGAGACCAGGCTGATGCTCTCTATGCCCTGACAGAACAGAACAAAATGGAATTACTCATGTCCAATGTCACATCATTAATCAGAAATTTTAAGGAAACTGACAGGTCAACAAACTACAAAAGTTTTTCCAGGAAACAGGAAATTCCAATCTACCTAAATCAGTGCTATAAGGAAATAAAACTTGTACAGATCTTGTGGCTTTCCCAGGAATGTGCACCTGAAAAAATAGCTCTAGATGCTGACTAAACTCACTGGATTCTTTTTGTTTCATGAGCATCCTTGTTGCACAAATACATTCTTCCTTGACCTTCCAGACTCACTGTATCCACATTATGCTTAAGAGTGAGTAAACTGACAGCAGCTGATCATGAGGTCTTTCTGCTGTTCTATCACTAATTTAGCCAATCATTGCTGTTCAAAGTTCCTTGCTACCCTAACCTCCATTTCATGACTTTTGCCTTTAAAATCATCCTGAAATCTTTAACAGGCTGGCAGAAATTATCCAGGAAAATGGATTTTCTGATGTCACGGTGATTGACTTAACCCTGACCCATATGTAATCTTTACTTGTTTTGCCTCATTCTCTTTTTTCAAAGTAAGTTGAATCATCTATCTAAATAGTATCCTTGGAAATTTTTTGTTAAATCTCAAGTTTGATTACATCATTCACTACAGATTAAGAACTTCAATTTAAAAAACCTACTATTTATTGCTATTTGAGGAAAAATGTAATTTCCATGGCTGAATATGTACACTTTTGTCATAAAGCAAAAATTAGGCAAGGATCCAGTGAATGATCTTTGTGACATTGGCACCAAATGATTACGACCAATCCATGACCCTACTGAATGACCTGTTGATTTTAACTCTTAAATAGTCAGATTCTACTGTTTTATCCTGCGATGCCTTATTTGAATACTCTTAACCTGACGATTGCTTCAAATTCTTTTGAAAATCAACTGGAAAAATATTTTAAATATAGAAAAAAATCTCAGATGATCAAAGAGCTCAGTCGAACCATCATGTAAATGATACGATGTAAAGTAAAAAATGGCTTTGTAAAGCAGTCAGAACAAGGGTATGATGTTATGCCCATTTATAGAAAGGCAGACTTGAATTCTTAGACCCAGTGGTAAATCTAGAAAATTCCTGGGTTTTAAGACAACATGACTCAGCATTTAACAGACTGACTGCCATGCTTCCTTACATAGCATAAAACCAAAAAGAACTAACCCTTCCTGCTTAAGCTTAGGCTGATTTCTTGATCTGAGGAAAATGAGAGACCTCCAGTGCCCTTGATCCTGCTATGGCCCAGCATACACAGATGAAGTTCCTTTGTTTTTTTCTACCAACTGCCATAGTGCAATGTATCTTTATTAAACAACATAGACGAAGGTATAATCTTGAACAATTCATTTCTCAAGATAATTACTAAGCCTGTCAAATTCCAAAATAAGGAATGGTTTTTATGAAAACCCTTCAACCACTAATAAATCTCATTGCTTACCCTTTGTTCTTTACACAGGCATTTTTCAAGTGAACATAGCTGGAAGGAAATATACCCTGAAAGAGAAAATGTGAAGGTTATGGTGTTAGCTGTCCGTTAGAGCAGGGTGGTTTCAAAAGGCAAATGTATAAAACATAGTCACATGACCATGACGATACCAAGCATAGGGAAAACAGCCATTATCTACCACATTCTGTAGGCTAAATCTTCTAACCTAAGACCCATTCCTTTCTACTGTTAACTAGCTTATAAATGTCAAGATTCTCTAAAATAAATGTAATCAGGACCTGCCGTTGTGGTGCAGTGGTGATTCAATGCTCTCCAGGGCTGCAATCACATGGGAAAGTCCCAGGCTCCTGTTATGAGGTCTCCCTGTACACACTGGGTGCACCCACACGTCTCATGATACTAGCTATCAGATGCTGGGGTGGACAGCAGTGTGAGGAGATGGAATATTCTCTACCTGATTCTCTCTCTCATTGGAAGAAAGCAAACAAACAAACAAACAAATAAATAAATTTTAAAAGCTGAGGGGGACCAGCAGATAATGTAATGGTTACATCACTGGACTCCCATGTAGTTGACCACGGTTCAAGTCCCAGACCTGGCTACTTAAAATTCACACCAGGCATGTGTGTGTGCATCATACTCAAGATCCCGAGAGAAGACTGGAGGAGAAGGGATTGTGGTGTGGCCAACCCCCTGGAGGTTGATTTCTCACTTTCTGTTTCTCTCTGTCTCTCCAGTGTGTGTACATAACCTATAACAAAAATCTCTTTTAAAAAAATAATAAAAATAAAACAGAGGGCCAAAAATGATGCTATACTAAAATGCAGCACTCTGCAAGGTTGACCCGCATGGCAAGGTTATTGGTTCAAACCCAAGGACCTCCTTGAGTATTTTGGGGACATATGTGTCCATGATCCAGGATGGCTAATGCTGTGGGGGAGATGGTGGCATCAAGACCCTGTTTGCGGGGCTGGTAGGTGGCATGGTGGTTAAGGCACTGGACTCCCACATGGCCATTCATGGTTCGATCCCAAACCTGGTGGCTTACTTTCTCACTTTCCCTCTCTCTCTCTCTGGTCAAGTTAAAATAATAATGACAATAATAATAAATAAAATAAAATAAAATAATGATAATAAAAATAAATGAAATATTTCTTTTTTTAAAAAAAAAAGACATTGTGGGGGATGCTATACCTCTCATTCATAGGATAAATAAAACTTTTAAAAAATAAATACAATTTTAAAAATATAAAATCTCACTCAGAAAATACATTCTTTATAAAACAGAAAATTTTTTTAAATTACAAAAGTTCTTCATAAAGATGTTATACTGAATATGATTTTTTTTTAATTGCGATTTTGAAAAAGGTCTGTGGTTTGTTTTGGTTATTCTTTACTTTTTGCCTACTCACTCATGTTTCTTTTTTCTTTTTCTTTTTCTTTTTTGAGAGTTTTTTGCTATAGGGCGTGTGTGCTCGTAGGAAAGACAGAGAGAGACAGAAAGCGAGACATCACCCCCCAGGGGGGATGGCCACGCTGCAATCCCTTCTCCTTTATTCTCCTCTTGGGATCTTGGGCACACACGCACATGCGCCCGGCATGAGTTTAAGCCACCAGGATCAGGACGCGAACTGCAGTTGACTACATGGGAGTCCAGCAACATAGCCATTATGCTAACTGCTGGTCCCTCACTCATGTTTCTATATAAAACAATGGGGGCAGCTGATGGTACAGCAGTAGCACAACTGGACCCACATTGGAAAGGTCTGGTGTTCCTGCATACACATGTGCCCATGATCCAGCCTGGCCAAGGCTAGTGGTAGCTTACAGCAAGGGGCCTGTTGGGGATGACTATCTCTCTGTCTCCTTCATGGAAGAAGCACATTTTTAAAAAACTCATACTCACTGAAAAAATACTACTATGAATTTGGAGACAATATGCATATTAAGTGTTATGAAAGTTCTTTAGTGACAACATAGCAGCAATTAATCATCATGCTGCTATTCTGATAGAAGAAAAATTAAACAAAAGAAGCCTAGCGAGCTTAATGCTTTTTATTGTAGGAAAATGATAGGGTAAGGAAATTGTTCCTTTGTTCTAAAGGGGAAATTGAAAGTAACACCACCAACCAAAAAGAAACACATATTTTATTATCCATTAAATGACAATATCTTCTGAAATTCTGATGTATAATCAAATGACAAAGTCCATTAAATATTTAAGACAGCACATGTCAGTTGAATACATTATCACCCTTGTGAATCCAAATATAAAATGAAATTTAATAAACAAATTCTGTATTCAACAGTATTATTGTATTCAAATCAGAATATAAAAATTTTAAATCACTTTTCTTCAAAATTTAAATTTACCTCAAAATGGTAGAATTAATAGAGTAATCGTAATTAATAAGGAAAAGTCAGAACTTGAGGTTTGTTACAAGTGATGGAACAGAAATGTCATAATAAATTTTTTCTTTTTCAAGCATGCATAATTAAATACTGAAGCTGTATTTGCATGTGCTTTGCAGATGTCCAAAAACAACTTTAAATGAGGGCTAAAATATTTTTTAAAATTAAACTTGTATAATCACTTGTCTCTCAGGCTCTTTCCTTTAGAAGGCCTGAAATAAATAATTAAATAGTTGGATGATGCAGAAAAGAGTATTTTTAGGAAAAAGACAAAAGTGTTTAGGCTTATTACATTGTATTTTGAGAATAAGAAATAATCAAATTTCTTATCTATAATATTAATAAAATTAGAATTAAACCCCAAAATGAATAACATGTAATACTAAAAAATATAGTAGGAAAAACGAGGGACAGTTGGGGAGGTAGGAATAAGATAGATAAACAGATTTTAGTAATAACTATCAAAATCATAAACTACACAAATTAAAGACAAAACAAAAATTATATTACTTCTCACTCTAATACCTGAAGATTTATATCAATATATAAGGAATAATTATTCTTACTTTCTATCTAGAATGGCAAAAAAAAAAAATGGCCTTTTTTGTAATATGCTTTTCCAGGATTCAGTTTCCCAATCACAAGGGATTCTTAAAGCACTACTAAAATAAACTAGTTTCTCCACACTGATATTTTACAAATGATACAACAGAAAACTTAAAGAATAAATACCTCTATTCAATATTTCTTTTGGAGTATATATTTCCCTTGCCTGAATTTTAATTTATCTCTTTGAGAAACTAAAACTTCAAAAAGATTTTGTTTATATATAATGAGCTTATTAAGGTCTCCTCAGTACAATTTTCAAGAGCTATATAGGATTATTATTTGAGTAGCATATCTTCACTGTAATCCAAGTTCAAAGGAATTCCAAAATTATGAAAATCTGTATTATCATTCAGCATTTTAACCAAGAGCTACAATTGTAATTTCAACTGTATAATAAAACAATCCAAATAACTTTTAAGAAGAGTCTTATAATTATGATTAGAAATCATAATTCTTACCTTGATATTTGGGTTTTTTAAGGCAAATCCTCTGTACCAGCCTGTGGGAAAATAATTATGGTCACATTTTGATAAACCATAGTAATATTTTCTTTTTTAACATTCATTTATTTATTTAATTCAGTTTGTTATTATTATTATTTTTTAATTTGACCAGAGAGAGAGTGAAAGGGAAAGTGAGAAAGCAAGCCACCAGGTCCGGGACTTGAACCATAGTCGCTCATGTGGGAATCCAGAGCCTTTAACCACCACGCCACCTGCTGACCCCCATAGTAATATTTTTAAGATAACTAATAATAACAAATCAATCTATTCTTTGCTTATGAAATTCTACCTACATGTAAATATTCCATGTATAAATATGATAGGCATGTTTATATTTACACATAGAAGAATATGAATACATACACTGAATAATAATAAAATAGAAACTATAGATGAAGTGACCACTAGTTTAAGTATTCTATTAATAAAGCCATTTTAAAAAAATATTGCTCGGGGGAACCAGCAGTTAGCGTAATGGCTATGTCGCTGGACTCCCACGTAGTCGACCGCGGTTCTTGTCCCGGACCCGGTGGCTTAAAACTCACGCCGGGCGCGTGTGCGTGCGTGCCCAAGAACCCGGGAGGAGAATGGAGGAGAAGGGATTGTGGCGTGACCATCCCCCCCTGGGGGGTGATTTCTCGCTTTCTGTCTCTATGTCTCTCTCTGTCTGTCTGGCTAGCGCACGCGCCCTATAGTGAAAACAAAAAAAAAAATATTGCTCGGGCTGGCAGGTGGCATGGCTGTAGGATACCAGACTCCATGTGGCTGAGCGGACTTCAAGTCCTGGACCAGGCAGCTTTCTTTCTTCCTTTCTCTCTCTCTCTCTGTCTCTGTCACTCTCTGATCAATTTTAAAAATAATAGTAATAGGGGCCAGGAGATAGTGTAGTGGTAATGTCACTAGACTCCCAAATAGTCAACTGCAGTTCCAGTCCTGGACTCAGTGGCTTGAAACTCAAACCAGGTGCGTGTGCATGCATGCCCAAGATCCTGGGAAGAGAATGAAGAAGGGATTGTCGCGTACTCAATCCCCTGGAGGATGATTTCTCACTTTCCCTCTTACTGTCTCTGTCTCTCTCTCTCTCGCTCTTCAGTGAGCACGCATGCTCTAAGGCAAAAACCTGTATAAATAAATAAAATAACAATAAATTAAATTAAAATAAATAATTCTTTTTAAAATGTATTAGAAATTAACATTTAAAAATAAAAACAAGCATATCAGGAGAATGACTTTGGAATCAGAGCATTGGATTTAAATTCTGGCTTTGTGACTTATTCATTGTTTAGTCTTGGGCAAGTTACTTGACTTCTCTGAGTACTATTTCTCCTCATTCCACAAAGATCACATTATGTGATAGGGAAATTCAATGATGCACACAGGAGTTGACATACTTTCAAATTCTGGAAAGCCCAGATTCAACCATCAAACAATAGTGCCAAGACAACAGTCATACAGCAAACTTGTATATTCCCCGTCTTGGGGCAGAATCGGTCTCATAGGCTAAGAAGAGTAAAGCCAGGTCTCCTGTACACCCAGAATTAACTGGCACTCACTCACCAGCACAGTGTCCGATTAGCTGAACTCACTAAAATTTTCATTTTATAGAATGTCTATTATTTAGGTTCCAAGCAACTCTCAATCAATCTTGCAGCACCATACTTAAAGGGAATGTCTTTTTATAGTTTAAAACAACTACAGGGGCTATTTATTAGATAATTAATGTATAGCCCCACTTAAAAGTTAGTATTTCCAGCTTGTATTTATTTCAAGTATAAAGTCAGCTTATGTTTATTTTAATTGTAGAAACCATTTCGCTTGGGTAAGAAAGTATTTTACTGTGTAATAAATGTTCTATCTAATTGAATATTATAGTTCATTAAATTTTTAAAACAAATATTTGAGCTCTGTTTTTAAACATTTTAGTTTTATAATTTATTTTCTTTTTTTAACTTGCTATAGGGCATGTGCGCTACTTGGAAGCAGGGCTGGGAGGCAGACAGAAGAGTGAAAAAGCACCCTGCAGATCAGACGGACACATCACAATCTCTTTCCTCCATTCTCCTCTCAACCTTTTTTTTTCCTTTTTTTAAGAGATATTTTTGTCACACAGCCAAAGAGACAGAGAGACAGAAAGCGAGAAATCATCCCCAAAGGGGACAGCCATGCTTCAATCCCTTCTCCTCTATTTTCCTCTTGGGATTTTGGGCATGCGGGCACATACATCCTCCATGAGTTTCAAGCCACCAGGTCTGAACTGCGGTCAGCCATGTGAGAGTTCAATTACCTGACTATTACCTAATCTGCTAGTCCCTTCTCATACGATTTTTTGATACACACATACATGTGCCCTGCATGTTTTCCAAGCTGCTGGGTCCAGGACTTGAACCAAGTACTTGGCCATGTGGGATCCAGCCACCTTCACTGCCATGTCATCTGGCTGGTTCCCTCATGATGCACTTTGTTAAGAAGATAAGCAAGGGGTCTTAAAAGATGGGAGAATGAGTTGAAAAAACCCTTTTCTAAGGATGGCATTTGAATAGCCAAAAGGCATATGAAAAAAATGCTCAACATCCTTCATTGTAAGGGAAATGCAGGTCAAAACAACAATGAAATACCACCTAACCCCAGTCAGAATGACTAAGATTTAAAAAACAAAAAAAATGATAAGTGCTGGCAGGGGTGTGGTGAAAGGGGATCTCTCTTCCCCTGCTGGTGGGAATGTAGGTCCAGCCACTA